GGAGGAATGTTGTCCATGGGGTCACAATGGGTCGGACATGACTTTGCTAAACAACAATAACAACAGTCCTTACCCCATGACTCGCAAGACATATGGCACATTAGTTCAGCAGGCTTGACACCCTCCTGTTGCTGCCATTGTCAAGGCCTTTGTGACTTTTAATAGGTCCTGTAAAAAGCAGAGAAAGAGTCACTGGGGACAGTTTGGGCTAGAAAGGACAGGTAAGCCTTAATTGCTGCCTGCCATACAGCTGTTAAAGTTGCTGAAGCCTAGTCTGAAAAAAGGAGGTAAAGCTATTCTGCAGGACAAGTGTTAAAGGAATGTTGCAGGCTTCCTCCAACATCTGATTAAACCTTTCATTCTGGGATATATTCTGAATGTGCACCCTGAATTCCTACCGGGACCTTTTACTCAGAATGCCCTGAGTGAGAGGAGGTGCCAGCAACAAAACAGGCTTTAGGGATTTCCTATGGATCCCAGGTGACTGGAAAAGGATGCACCTTAGTGGCTTTATATTTGAAGAACCCTGGGCAGACCCTGTGAAGAACTGTACCCATGCTCAAACTGGAGGTGTGGAAAGCAGGAAAAGAAGTCCAGAGCTATCTGACAAAAAGTTTCTGACAAAGCACATTGCTGGAAAATAAGTGCACATCTCCCTCCTTTTATCATCAGGATAAGCATTTTTGGGGACACATGCATTTATTTGGTTGCTTGGATCATTAATATTTGCTTTAACCTATAGAATGAAGCATGGACTCTCTTAAGGAAGAGTAACTACTTACCAATATGAAAATAACTAACAGCGTTCAATTTCTGATTTTCAATTTCAGAAGTAAAGGAGAGATTAAAATTCACTTGAATTGTCTGGTGAAGGATGTGGGCTCACATGTATGGCTTCATAGTCTTGCCCCATCTTGGCGGATTCCTTGGTTTGTTATTTACCCAGAAAGAAGTGCCAGTATGGTTTGAAAATCTGAAGAAACCATCATGGCATCCACCAAATATAATGTTTCCACTTGCTTGGACTACACTGTGCACAAGCATAGGGTAAGGATTCCTGGATGCTTCTTTCTCCTCATCGGAGGCTGCAGTCTTTTCTTGGAAGAAAATCCAATTCAGAGAACTTATATCCAAGAAAGTGCACATTGGGTCAGATTGGAAGCTTCAGCTGTGGGGTGGTATAAAATGCAATAAATAAATACCCAATTGCTCCCATGGTAGTTCCTGAAGTTACTTAGCTGGTTTTGTGCACACCAGGAAATTAATTATTCTTGATGCAATTGTTCCTCATTTCCTTATCTACACCTGCACTTCATATTGGGAATCACTGCCCTTTTATTGAATAAAATATTAGCAATGTGTATATTTGATGCCAGCTGTCTCTGTTGAAGATAACAGAAGTATCTACACTAAAAATGCACTCATGCTGCTTGGGACATTCTGGGAGTTGGACTTTTTCTGTATAAACTTGCATAGGATGGTGCCCTAAATCTCAGAAGTATCCTCATTGCCTCTTAAATGCAAGTTTCTGATATGCTCAGAACCACTAATAGATCTGACCTAATGCCCTTGATGCAAGATGTTTTTGAACTTCAGCTGCCATCAGACCCAGACAGCCAATAGCCAAATAGCCAAAATGCTGGGAGCTGTAATTTAAAGGATCAGGTGCTAATGGTAATCAGATATGATGGAACACTAAACTAACTCTGGCCAATAGTACAAATTCAAATAATATTTATGAACAAGAGATTTCGAAGTCCCACTCCCCTGGCCCTTAGATTTGTTCATTGCCTCAAATTGCATTAAGTCTAACTTTGAGGTTTCTGCTGCCAGCTTACAAAGAAACATAAGCCATCTGAGCTGAATTTAATTGGAACAAAGCTTCCTCTGGAAAGTCTTTTTAAAAGATACTATTAGTCAGGCAGATAACATGACATCCAAAGGAAAGTACTAACTGTTTTCTGCAGCTACGCTTCATATCTGGAGTGGATGGACCTTGATGGCTTCAATAGCAGAGCCGTCATGCCCCCAGGCCTGTATATAACTCAGCTGGCCTTGAACTGGGCATGGACTCCTTTATTCTTTTCTTCGGAGCTCATAAACTAAAGCTTTAACCTGTGGAGCTTTATTACTTGTATTTCAGTTTCTTATTTGAGGCACTAGGCAGGCTGTCTAAAAATGTACCGGGCTGCAGTTGCAGTATGAAATGTACAAACTCTTCACATTTTTAGCATTTGTTTTTGTGAATTTAACTCCACATTTCCTATGCCTCAGAACATACTGGCAATTTCAGCTAAACAGTTTTAAACAGGCAGGGAAATCCAGATTGATACTCTGAACAGTTAAGAACTAGAAGCACTACATTCATGGCAAGAGGTGTTCCTAGGCACTTTGAAGATTTGGTTGGTCACCTGGCCTATAAAATTTATGTGTGTGTGTGTGTGTGTGTGTGTGTGTGTGTGTGAGAGAGAGAGAGAGAGAGAGAGAGAGAGAGTTTATAAATAAATCTAGGATTGATTTGAATTTCATAGAAAGCAAAGCCAGCCAACTGATCTCTCATTGAAATAACTGCAGATAAATTCTTCAATGACTTGGTGCACCCCCACCCCCAAACCATCCCAGATCAGATTCTCTTCATTCCATGCCCACCTCACTGAGCATAACCACTATGTACTATGATGGGAGGCTTCACTTTTCCCTGCCTGGCTGCATTCCTGCATGAAAATTGCCCTTTGTGTGGCAATTAAGCTAGTAAAAACCCAGGGCTCTGGGCAAAAGATTGATCTTCTGCCTAAGCAATGCCCCTGTTCATGGCATCATTATCCGCTTTCTATAACCCTCATGTCCACATTCCCCAAGGAAGAAAGCAGGTAAAATATTCTGCCACAGAACAAAGCATGTAGAGTAAATATATTCACTGAACTATGCTCAATATATTTCAGCAGCATTATTCAAGATATTCTGCTCAGCAAATATGTAGTTCTTGAAAGTGAAGAATTCTAGAGTGTTGAGAGTAGCTATTGTATAACAAGAACAAGGAGATTTCGGACAAACTGAGACAAAAGACTTGTTTTGCCTGTTTCCACTTTGAAATTGGTTCCTACAAGCAATATCAATCCCTTGCCGTTGTGTTGCCTGGTACTAAACTGAATTAACTGGCAGTATAGATAAGGTCATGAGGTTAGCACCCTCGTGTTCTGGGTGTTCCATTTCCCCCTTTCACAAACAGTGTGTCTGAGACAAACACTCTGAGCACCACTCCTTGACCTAATCACGGAGCACATGCCAGAGCACCAGTGGGAGCTTGCTGCTCCTATGTGGCTAAAATCACTAGCCGCAAATATGAGATGCTGGAGGAAAGTGTGTTAGTTCACTGAGTTCAACGTGTTAGCGCTGCACCAGGCACAAAGAGCAGGCGCTTTTGGAGTGCAGGGTGGTCTCCCTCAGGCTGATGTGTTGAACTACAGCTGCCAGCATTTGGAGGAGACAAAGCAAAAGGTAGTCCTCCTGATGTGTTGGACTTCAAGTGGTCAGGAATGTTGGGAATGACAGTCCAAAGCATCTGGTTATCTATTTCATGCTTGGCCCTTGTGTGGTCTGTCAAGAATTGTGGAAGGATGCTGACTTCTCTGGTGCAAGGGAAATCACAGTGCAGCTTGGCAATGTTTGGGTTAGAGCGTGGTAACTCTTGCAAGTATATTTGTGGAAATGACTGAGGTGGTATGTTGACTGCTCAGGATGAGTCGTGCTGTGTCATAATTTCATCATCTTTTTATGACGTAGGAGTTGTGGAATCTGCTGCTCATCAGAAAGCATAGTATGGAAAGCATACTACTTTCAAGAAAGGTGTGGCTGTACTGGGAAGGGGTGTGTGCATGAAGAGTAGTAAGGGACAGCTGTCCTTGTAGCAAATTCTCCTGAAAAAACACATCTGTATGCCGAGAATCTGATCCAACTCCTGTTCTTAATGTTGCATTCCCCTACAGTACCAAAGTTAAAGCACATGGAGAGGTTCCAGAAACACGTTAGAAATCTTAGTCCTCTTGGATCACAATTCTCTCTCTAGCCCCAGCCATTCAGGAATCCCGTTCTGCTTGGAGAGACTTCGCCCCAACAGCCCAGTCCTGAGCTGTGCAGTTGCACTCCAGGACCAGGTGAAAGGCTTCTGAAGGCTTGGCCTCTGGTGCCTGCGCAAGGCTGGAACAACCCCATGCACTGAATCAACAGTCATTTCTGTCCCTGGAGCTAGTTAAAGGCAAGTGCTTCGTGCAAAGAGCTTGGCACTGGATGAGGCAGTGTGGGAAAGGAGGTGATTGGCAAATTGTGTCCATGGAGCAGCCAGTTGTGAAACTTTTGCAGAGGCAAAATGATGTAGCCTGAAGGGTTGGGGAGGGGGGAATGAGAGAGAGAGAGGTGAAAGCAAATGGAGCAGTCTTGATGCCTCTCTGTCCCAGTTGCCATGCTTAGGCAGTCACTCCCAGTCACCTGATACATCAGTAGATCATGCTGGGTTCTTTAAAATAACAACTACAGCTACAGCAACTACAACAGCAATTGTTGTTATATCCTGCGGGATTTGAGAATGATTAAATCTTGTACGTATAATAGCATAATGTAAACACCTGCATACAGAAACATTAACGCTATCAAGAATAAAAACTTTAGGACTGGTTAAACATTATCATATGTTGCCAAATGTTTGTGAATAGAGTACTTGGCATGAAAAGGGTGACAGTGTTGGCACCAGGCAGACTTCACTGGAGAGAGTGTTCCATAATTGGAAGGCCACCACTAAAAAGGCCCTCTCCACAGTTGCCATCCCTTGGAAAAGACAGTTGGAGGAGGACTACCATAGTGCATTTGTCAGGCTGCATTAGAGGTTTTTCTGTTTCTCTCTTCCAGGCCCTGACTGACATTGTGTGTCTGTACGGGCTAGTGCTATGCACCATATATTCCTGGTACCCTGTTAACAAGCTTGCAACACTAATGATGCTACCTTATCTTGCCTGGCTGATTTTGGTATCATCTCTCACCTACTGCATCTGGCGAGACAATCCAGAAAAGGGAAAGAAAGAATAAGAAAGAAGCTAGCTTTATGCCATTTGGTGAAACCTATTCATCCTGAAAACTGGTACTGTGAAGTTCATTTGATAGACACAGGAGCATTTTCCCCAAACATGGAAATAGGGTGATCTTTTTAAAAATGTGATGTTGCATATTTATAAAGCTGCCGTACAGACTGAGCTTGAATGCATCAATTTCTGCTCTTACTCAAAGAGCAATCCTAGACAATGGTACACAGAAGGAAGTCCTACTGAGTTCAGTGGGGCTTTCATCCAGGTAAGTGGGCATAGGATTACAGACTTAACACCTTAATGAGTTGATGTCATCAGGTTTCAGTTGCCTAGTCATATCCTCAGTAATCCTTGGATCTAGCTTTGCATTGTTCTGTCAGCTCATGCTTTAAAAAAAATAGGAATTATTCTGGAAGTGTAAAAGATTCAACAAAAGCAGAATCAGCTTACATGGGATTTGTAAAAATTGTGCTAATAAAAGATTGTGCTAATGACATTGAGTTCTGCTTCCTTTGCACATTTGTGCTTTTAAGTGTCTATATTATTACCTTTCCCTCTCCCATTTTTCTCTTCTCTCTGGTCTTTTCCCACTATCAACATTTAGACTGGAAGCTCATCAGAGCGGAGATTGTTTTGTGCGTGTTGTACTCTATAAGGATCATGTACATTAACACCATTTAAATAAACAGTGTGTTGTATGCCTAAAGTATGAATGTGACCAAACATGTTATTTACCAAACAATGTTAAAACAAACACAGCTACCTTTGGAGGGAACAAGAATTGGCCATAACCCTCTGCTGAAGGGTTGGGTTGCCACTACCTTAGAGTAGATGAAAAGAAATATTTGGAATAAAACAGCAATTATTTTCATCCAGTCAGCTTTTTGTTCTTATTTTACAAACCAATTGCTACATGTGTTGATAGTTTTGTGTGTATCCACAATGAAGGGACATTTCACAACCAGACAAAAGGAGTCCAGTTTAGTGCTGAAGGAAGAATTTAGTAAGTGCGACATTTGACATTTTCAGCAACAAAAAAGGAAACATTGATCCATTATTCCTTGTTTGTTCCTATAATCATTGGTCTAGCTAAGTGTAGTGAGAGAAGCAGGCAGCCATTCTTGGTGGGTATCCCAGGGTCAGCCTGGCTGGGCTTCTGAAGAAGGAGGGGACCTTGAGACAGCAGAGATGGGAGTTTGGGTGACTGGGCAGAAGCACAGCTCTTTGAAGCACCCTGGAGCTTGCTGCCAAAGGTTCCCAGGCCAACCGGGAGAGTTGGAATGTTTTGGAAGGGCCAGATGAAGAAGAGGAGGAAGAGCCATGACCCCATCATGAGGTGTTGGGAGAGGCAACTGCCCAGTTAGAGGGCTTGCAGTGGTCTCACTGCCTGACCCTTCAGCCCCAGAGTTACCGAAAGGGAAGTCCCTAGTTTGGCATCAACAATCATTCTTAGTATGTGCAGAGGCTTATCTTCCAGCTTACTAGAAGACTTTTAGAGTTAGTTTTATCTTGTAGCAAAGAGACTGTCTGATGTTTTGAAGCTTAAAGGCAAGAAGGCAAGGGCAGAGCTCACAACACTAACTAATAGCACAAAACTAGGCATGTCTACTCAAAAGTAAGTCCCACTGAGTTCAGTTAAGACTGATTCCTAGGTCAGTGCATATAGCTGGGGTGAGCAGCTTGTGGCTCTCCAGATGTTTTGGCTTACAGCTCCCATTAGCCCTCCCCATTAGCTTTATTTGGGCTAACAAGGTTGCTGTCAAAGCATTGGCCAGGCCATGGTTGCCCACCCCGATGTAGACAGCTGCAGCCTAAATCATTTTCCTGTGCTCCATCCTGATTGTTACAAACCACAGATTTGGAGGTTTTAACACGAGGCTCTAATTCTTCTTTGCCTCTCCTTGTTTTCTTTTACTTTTTATCCTGACAAATAGTTTTTGAGGAATTTACAAACTTTCTCATGACTTTATGACTCTTGCTTTGTTGGAATGAAGGTGTTACCCCACTGTGTCTTTTAGATTTTTTTCCCTAATATGGCCTAACAGACTGTACAAGAAATGGGGATGCTGCAATGGGCCTATGTTCACCTAAAGGCCGCTATGTGTACATGGCAGGCTCAGTTTTGAATGTGGCAGCAGTGCTGGGGAGGGAAAGTTTCCTCTGCACCATTTTCCTGAGGTAAATCAGCACCCCTCCCCCAACCCACTGACCCAGTGCTTTTAGCCTTCAGCAGAGCTGGAAAGGCTAAGACAGACACATAACATTATCTCATGCAGTTTGAGCCTAAAGAATCTCTTTTTTCGATAAATCAGAAGGAATGATGCTTTGTGAGTCAGGCTCTTGACTCGGCCAACAGGACAAAAATATTTGGAGCCTAGAACCCAGCACTTACTAAGTGATCCAAAAGAAAATGGGATAACTCCCAGGTCTTACTTGCTCTTCTCAGGTGTCTGAAGATTTCCCCTGCTCCAAATGCAACCAAAGAATAAGCTAAGGCTAAAAGTGGCAGTGCAATTGCCATTAAAACGATCTCCACTTACGATGTCTTCCCAGGGACTTTACAGTATTTTCAGTCAGTCCTTCTGAGAGTGGAGAGAGAGGTCCACCCACAGAGGAGGAGATGCCACCTCAGAACCCCTCTGCCAGTTACTGTGGAAATTCTGATACCAGAGGGGGGAAAGTGGGTACATTGGCGGCATGCCAAGAGAGGCAGTGAACCTGAGGTCCACCAGGTCCCCATTCACACTCCCAGACCAACATAAGCTTTATTCCAGCTCCCATAACTATGGAACCCACCTGGAGATAATTTTACCAAAAAAATATTTTTCTCACACAGCCAGAAAGCCCCCACACAAAATTGCTGCTCCTTCCTCTCTCTCCCAGGGTTCCTCCACCCTGGGAGATCCTCACTAGCAGCTACAAGATTGCTCTGCCCATATATTCAACATGCGCTATGTCTGGTGGCCACCAACATTATTAGCAACCTCAGCTGGAAGTGGGTAAGACCAACAGCAATCTTACAGTGAATTGGACCAGCTTCCTGACCCAATGGAAGGAGAAGAGCAGACTCACTGGAGGACTTAGGCTGTGGTCCAAAAACACATGCTAAGGCCAAGCATCTTTAGGTCTCTGTCTGGCCTGTATATGAATGGGAGGTCTCTTGGGAGCCATCGGAATGTTGTCTGGAGGTCTCTTGAAGAAAGGTGGGATATACATGCAATGAATTTTAAAAACATTGTTAATTCTTGCAGCTGTTGAAGAGCTGGGTAGCATATTGTTGATGATCCGCAAATTTCCCCTAACTTCACAGTTCATCACGGTAACAATTTGGTAGAGATGCTACATATGAACCACTAGGAAAGAAATGTGGATTTATAATTCACAGGGAGGAGAAAAGAAAGAGAACATTCTTTTGAAACTGGTCCTTAAATGATCCGCTTCTCTGATTTAAGGGACTTATTCCCTATCTCTGGCCAAGCATCCAAGGCACAGCAGACTATTCAGAGAGCGACAGCACCATCTAGTGACTTGTAGAACACCAAACAACAATATTTCTTCTGATACAGAAGTAGTACAAAAATGCCATTATATTCCAGTTGTACAGGAAAATACATGTAAAAGCAAGTGATTTTATAACACCAGCCCTTACATCGTTTCCACTAGATGATGTTCAGTTTGCAAATCGGAGGCAATTCCTTGGGCATTGGACTTGCAATCAGAATTCTGGCCTATAGCAATATGGCAATTACACATATGTGCACGTGCACACGCACACACTCATATCAAGTTTCTTTCTCTGCTGTTTTCCCATATTCTACAGAGGCAATGGAACGCTTGAAATTACGCTTGTCAGTAAGAAGGGGATGGATGTGGGAGAAGAAATGGAAATATAATCCAGGTTGGAGGCACTGTTGGACGGTAAACCATTGGTTCCAGAGACAGAGTATACCCTTGCACTCTTGCTTGACTGCAGTTTTGAAGCTTGTAGGTTATCCTTGATCTGGTGCTTCTTCTAGATGCACAGCAGTGACTACCAGCTTTGGCTGCACCTTCTTCTAGCGAAAGTGGACTTGGCTGTACTAATACATTCTTTAGTTACTCCAGAACAAGATATTCTAGTGCACTTCCAAGTGTCCAAAAGGATCAACTGATCCAAGTGAAAATGCCAAACAATTGTCCAGGATAGGATAGATACAGCATAACCATGGTTCTTTTTGACCTAATTTGGTTATCTGTCCATTTTTAGATTTAATTCAATACGCCAGTTTTTGTGCTGAAAGCCCTAAGCCGCTCTATCCTCCCATATTCTCCATTTAATATCTAAGGTTCTGCTTTGAGGCCCCCCACTGGCTGAATTTCAGCAATGGACACAAGAAAAGAAGCATTTTGTTTCTGGCACTAACACTATCCAGAGTGCCCTCCATAAAGAGACCTGTCTAGTCCTATTACTGTATTTATTCTGTTGTCTCTTTAAGGAGCAGTTTGGGGAAAGCTGAACAAATACTTACGTGCATGCTTAAACATGCTTATGACGAATATTCTGTTTACTCTGTTTCTGTAGAGGCCCAAAACAGGTCTGACCATTTGACGTGGGCATACATCTCATACCATCACATTCCCCCGATTCTTCCCCTCCACCACCTGCACGGAGATACTAAGATACAAACACACACAGCACTTGTCAGTTCCCCCATCCCCAGGGAGACAGCGTACTGGGTACTGGACCGATACGTCGTTTGAACTTACTCTAAAAAGCACATCCAAAGCTGCTAGCTATCAGGATACGTTTACTTGTAAACAGTCTTTTAGTAGAAGCCTCTTTGTGCTCTAAGATCTACTCAGTGATGTCACAGGTATATGTGAGGCAGCATGCTGAGTTTATATGAAAGACCTGCATTGTTAAAATTTGAGGGGTTCTGTCAAGCTTTTACAGTTGAGCAATCCCATTGGCTCCATTCCAAAGTTAAGGAGGGGTCGTGTTGCTTAAAGCCTCCTTGGTTCCTCACTTAGGCTATGCAGGCCATAGGCTTAGGAAAGCAGGAAGCTGGCTTGTACTTCAGACCGTTCATCCACTCAAGCTACCATTGGTTGAATCCTGAAAAAAAAATAGCTGGATATGAGATTCTAAAGGAGAAGGAGAAGAAGGAGAGCATCTGAAGATCAGGATAAAGAAACACAGGAAGTTCAATATTGTCACACTGACCGGCAGCAGTTCTCCATGGTTTCAGACAGGGATCTTTCTCAGCCGTACCTAGAGATGCTGAGGAGAGCAACTGAGAGCTTCTGCATGGCAAACCTATGCTCTGCAGGGAGCTATAGTTCTTCCTTATCTGGCAGAATTGGGGTGGAGACCAGCACATCTTCTAGATCTAGAACAGCATATGCATGCTTGGTGCCATAGCCAATTTCTGATACACAAAGTTGTATCATACCCACTGAGTAGGGAGTTACATTTATTGTGCACATTCAGTGCAGGTCTGTATGTACACAGTTACAAATATGATAATATGTGAAACAAGTATTTGATATCTAAACATCCCTTGGGCTTCCTTTACTTGCAATACTCCATATATTTGTAATGGTCTTGCTTCTATCTTTTTTTTCTACACACAAATTCTATACATACTTCCCTGAGAGTACAATCCATTTAATTCAATTGAATTTTCTTCTGAGTGGATACACATAGGTTTGGGTCATAAGAATTTGTGGTCAACCAAAAATGGGAAACAGAATGAGGGCAAGAGTAATTTTAATGATTA